ATCATCATCTTTAGAGAGATTGAAAAGTTTGCGGATTCTGTTAGCTCTTTTGGGCCCTTGGTGACAAGGCACCGTAGTATCAGTCAGTCCATCTAGGAATATCCTTCTCTCCTTTTTTATGCAATAACCAAGTCGAGAACACTCAGATTGGCATCCACAATGTAACCCTGAACAGATTTGCGCTTCCTTTCTCCCGTTCTTCTCGGTCTGTTAACAGGAATGCCCCCTTACTCAGTAGAGGGTGGACACGGCCATGGGTCAGGACACACTGCTTCATGGGGAAACCTTGTTTGTCATTCCCACCACTGATCCGGACCACATAACCCTTCCATTCTTCATTCAGAGTGTCAGTAGCAACCTCTGTGGCCACACGCTTCTCATAAAAAGTACAAAGTTTGCGTTCATCATCCACTTCATTGAGTTTCTGGCAGCCAGTGGCTGGGAAGGAAATATTCAGATTCATCTTGAAGTAGCTGAATGCCTCTGAGGCGCCACAAAAAAAAGCCATACGTAACTTCTTTAAGAAAATGTAAAAGGATACCACATGACCTTTGTATATAATCTTCATCATTTTTCATGTCCATATTAACATTTTAGTTGAAGTTGTTTTTGGCCTCACTGTATGGCTAGTGTAAAAAACAAAGTTAAGTCCCAAATTCAGCAATTTCTTTGCCTTTGGTTAGATTTAAAATAAAATTAAGAAAACCCTTTTAAAAGTTATACTTACCCATGTTGAAAATTAGGGGAAAAGAAAGAAAAGTGGAAAATAAAAATTACTTGCAATCCCACCAACCATTGATATTGGTAATTTGAAGGAAAGTTTTAATAATATTGCTGTTTGGTTCTCATAATTTATCTGGTACCATAAAAGGGAAGGGAAGCAGAAAACATATATAAGTGCAAGAGTTGCCTGTAAATTTCTGGTGTGAATGTTAATCTCAGAAGGATTAAGAGTTGTAGGAAAACACTGATCCCAAGCCTGGCTTTGTTGGCCTTTCCTATCTGTAAGATCACTGCTTGTTAAGGCTGTCGTCAATTTACTCAGGTACATTTCCATGAGTGGTACACACTGAGATTGTGATTTGGTTGATGATGCCTATTAAGAGTAGTTTAGAAATGTTTCATGTAACGAAGAAAGAGGCTTGATAAGAATGTTATCATCTTATCTCCGGAACTTCTTTTAAATTCTGGGCAGAACTTTGAGAGTATATTTTTAAATTATACCTTATGCAAAGGTATTGAAGGTGATGAAAAAGTACACTGAATGTTAATCATGTTTGACTTTTTACAAGTCATAATTTAGGCAGGGTCAATGCTCCTTTTCTGATAAGCTGCTTTAGCTACTACTTCTGTTTCTCCTAGGGCAAAACAAAAGTGGTTCTGTTTAGTAAGTTAAAGTGATAGGCTTTCCTGGTTAAGAAAACCACTATATGTATATACAGATATTTAGGTTATTTATTTTGTTAGAAACCCATTAAAGAAATTCCTGTGTTTGTGATTATGAGAATATTTAGTCACTCTGCCAACTCTGAATTTATTCCTGTGGCTTAGTTTTGATGTCAGGGGCATTATTGCCATTACTTAATGCCTTAAAGAGAAATTAAGGGATTGAATGGATAGTTTCATAGTAAGGATTTGAAGATTTCAAGTATGGTCTGGGGACATATAAGAAATTTAGAAAGGCAGCTGTCTTGTCAATTTGCTGCTTTTTATTGGGCTGCTGAAAGTTGATTAAGTTTCTTGATGTTATATATTTTTCCCAAACTCTCTGACACAAGTATAAGTCTTCCTTCAGTGTGTTCGGATATATGAGATTATCTGTCCATTTTCTTTTCTTTTTTTTTTTTCCCTTCAGAGACATCTTTCCCGGGGCTTGTCATTCTCAAATATGGATAGATGACTCTCGCGGCTAGCCATGTAGCTGTCATCTCAGGAACTCCCTTCTCCATCATTCTGGAAGTTTTCTGTGCATCTCTCCTTTTCACTTTTTTGTATTCTCTGTCATCTTCTTTACCAGCTTACTTTTCCATTTTGGTAGGACATACTTTTGAGATCTTATATGTCTGAAAATATCTTTATTCTCTTTTCAGTCCCTATTGAAAGATTCATTGGCTGTAGAATTCTGCTTTAGAAGTAAATTTCCCTCAGGATGTTTTTAGTTAAATGTCAATCTTGGAAAAGAAAGAAAAGTGGAAAATAAAAATTACTTGCAATCCCACCAACCATTGATATTGGTAATTTGAAGGAAAGTTTTAATAATATTGCTGTTTGGTTCTCATAATTTATCTGGTACCATAAAAGGGAAGGGAAGCAGAAAACATATATAAGTGCAAGAGTTGCCTGTAAATTTCTGGTGTGAATGTTAATCTCAGAAGGATTAAGAGTTGTAGGAAAACACTGATCCCAAGCCTGGCTTTGTTGGCCTTTCCTATCTGTAAGATCACTGCTTGTTAAGGCTGTCGTCAATTTACTCAGGTACATTTCCATGAGTGGTACACACTGAGATTGTGATTTGGTTGATGATGCCTATTAAGAGTAGTTTAGAAATGTTTCATGTAACGAAGAAAGAGGCTTGATAAGAATGTTTTTATGCTTACCAAGAGAATCTCTCAGTGGTTGGCCATTTGCACATTGGGTCAAAGTGCACGGTAATATTGGCTGTATCAAATTAAATTTTCTGCAAATGCCATTTGCTAAACCGGAACTTCTTTTAAATTCTGGGCAGAACTTTGAGAGTATATTTTTAAATTATACCTTATGGAAGAAAGAGGCTTGATAAGAATGTTATCATCTTATCTCCGGAACTTCTTTTAAATTCTGGGCAGAACTTTGAGAGTATATTTTTAAATTATACCTTATGCAAAGGTATTGAAGGTGATGAAAAAGTACACTGAATGTTAATCATGTTTGACTTTTTACAAGTCATAATTTAGGCAGGGTCAATGCTCCTTTTCTGATAAGCTGCTTTAGCTACTACTTCTGTTTCTCCTAGGGCAAAACAAAAGTGGTTCTGTTTAGTAAGTTAAAGTGATAGGCTTTCCTGGTTAAGAAAACCACTATATGTATATACAGATATTTAGGTTATTTATTTTGTTAGAAACCCATTAAAGAAATTCCTGTGTTTGTGATTATGAGAATATTTAGTCACTCTGCCAACTCTGAATTTATTCCTGTGGCTTAGTTTTGATGTCAGGGGCATTATTGCCATTACTTAATGCCTTAAAGAGAAATTAAGGGATTGAATGGATAGTTTCATAGTAAGGATTTGAAGATTTCAAGTATGGTCTGGGGACATATAAGAAATTTAGAAAGGCAGCTGTCTTGTCAATTTGCTGCTTTTTATTGGGCTGCTGAAAGTTGATTAAGTTT